CTGAGCTAAATCCCCAGCCCCCTGGCTGGATTTTTTGTCTGGTTTCCATAAGCAGTATCTCCTTTCCCACTCTCTGATTTGCTTAAGGTGTGTCTGTTTGCTGTCCTTGTTCTATAATACTTATTATAAGAAATAAGAAGCAATTCCTATAATTAAAGAAAGCCTCACAGATAATTGCTTTACGTAAGAGTAGACTACATTACAAATGAAAGTCAATTTTAATATAATAATGATGCAGATATTTTTGATACTTGTAGGTTCTGATTTTCATTGATTAGTTTTATAAAGTAGCTGCCTCAGATTCTTATGACAGCCTGTTAACTGCAAGTGATTAGGTTAAATTAAAGGAAGTGGAAGAATGCTCTGTGACTGCAGAACTATTCAAAGGTTTGAGTAAGTTAGAGGGTTAAATACCCTACTTAACTATTATACACAGATGCCATAGAAATTATAAACTTCTTAACCGGGAGAAAAAACAAAAAGTTACTCATAAAAAGTTAGAAATTAAAATAAACAAAGGATCTAAAAAGAAGAAAATATTTTGTGTGGATTCACTAAACAAGACTAAGAAATGATTATTCTTTCTTTTTAAATTTTACCTCTCTGATGCCTTAAAAGGGCTTTCAGGTTCCTGTCATCCCTCTGGCACTTGGAGTCTTTCATGTCACTGTGAGCTGGATTTTCCCTTCATTTCTACGTTAAAAGACAGGAAAGATCCCACTCACTGGGAGGGCGATAGAGTGGGTGTAAATTAAATAGCTAGGAGAATAGTTTCATGTGATCTCAGTTACTCTGTGACTCTTTTTGGTCTGTACACTGTCACACTCAGCACCGCGGTACTCACACGGCTGGCGGTCAGGGTGTGGGAGATCGTCTCTTCTTCGACCGGCACGGTCTGTGCTGTAGCCTGCACATCTCAGCGCCTTCGCAGACAGGTTGCTCCCCCGCTGCTGCACGCCGGCCAGGGCCCCGGCCAGCCTGAGGGGCTGCTCAGCCCCAGTCCTAAAAATACTCTAAATAAGCCAGACTCAGCCCAGGGTTGCCTGTGTTCTCTCATCTGCAGAGTCAAAGAAAGAGGAGAAAAGAAGAGAGAGACGATAGGAAAGTAGAAGGGAGATTGTTAGAGAGAAAGAAGGGGAATCAGAGAGGGGGAGATGGGGAGAGAGGGGAAGGAGGCCAGTGGGGCAGAATAATTAAGATATGTTGTGTGGATGTGTAAATATGCCAAAGTGAAGCCCAATTTTTGTATACCTAGTAAGCACTTATTATAACTAATACGCACTTTTTAAAAAACTGAAAAAAACCCAGCTTTCCTCTAAGTTCTGCTTGCTCCCTTGTCTCTGCCATCCTGATAACTGTGCACTGTACAGTGTATGCCTATCATCCCAGGACTCAGGAAGCTGAGGCAGGAGGATTGCTGTGATTGAGAGGCCAGCCTGAGCTACACAGTGAGCTCAAGGGCAACCTGAACCATATATTGAGACCCTGTCTCAAAAGGCCAAAACAAAACCAAAAACCCTCCACCACATTGGAATAATACAAAAAATTCAAATCCCTCATATTTTTATAATCCAAGTTATAAAACATGTTAGTGTTCTAGGCAGCATTTTTATCACTTCTAAAGATGAAATACTCTGTGGTGCATTCTATGGCCTTTCTGTGAGAGGCGGTGAGGGGGCCTTGGAGTAGGCTGTTAGTGAGAAGAAAGGAGGAAGAGGAAGGCAGGTGGAGGCAGGGGCGGCGGGGCTGCCCGGGGTGGGAAGAGAAGGAAAGGCCCGTTCAGTTGAGTCCTTGCAGAAGCGGCTGTGGCTGCCCCGGGCCCAGGGCCCCCTCCAGACCCCTCATTCTTGATTTATGAGGAGTGATTGAAAAATGTGGTGAATACTTAAGTTAAAAAACATTATTACAGTAAAAGATGCATTGCCGGTAATTCCTATTTTTTTGTTTTGTTTTGTTTTTTCTCCTGTACCGGGAATCGAACTCACGACCTTACACTTGCCAGGCAGGCGCTGTGCCGCTGAGCTAAATCCCCAGTCCCGGTAATTCCTCTTAACATCACTCCCTGCTGCAGTGCACTATCTCACCATTCTTGCCACTTTACGGCAGCAGCTCTGGGAATCCTGCTTTATGAGGTCTTTCTGGTGTGTGATAAAAAATGCGGTGCGGCTGCTGCGTGTGACCCTCAGGAAAGGCAGGCTCATAAAAACACACCCTCCTCACCTGATTCACTGGACCTGACACCATGAAACTTCTGGCTCTTCCCTAAAGTCAAGGTGGTCGCAAAAGGTCAGCATCCTGACCTGATTCAGGACACCAAGGCAGCCAAAACAGCACCAGTAAAGACACTCAGGAAAGGCACTTCCAGAACTGCTGCAGAAAGTGGCAGGAAGGATGGGATCAGTGTGTCTGAGGCAAAGGTGAGTGGTACTGAGCGGGATTAATGGCAGTGTGTTTTTATCGTGGTGCACTTTTAAAATTTAAACATTCACTGTGTATTTTGATCCGCCTTTGTCTACACCTTCCCCTCTTCTCTTCTTGGGTAACTTCGTATCCTTTGGCATGGGCCAAACCGGAAGTCTAACTCAGTCAATGCCCATTCACCCCGACGTTGATGTTTATGATTTTCCTTCCGGAGTTTCTCGTCTTCCTCTTCTCATCCTCTGGGCCATGCTTTCTTGTTGGGGAAACAAAGGAGAGACGTCCTTTGGGATCTTCTAGGACCTCCTGCTCTGACCTTCTAGACTCTGCATGAAAGTGTTCTTACGTCCCTGCAGGTCCCTGAAAGCCGTGGGGCTGGGCACAGCGGGCTCTGACTGCTGAGTCCGCTTGGTGATGCTCTCTCTAAGACTGGGCAGGGTCTGTCAGATGTGGCATCTGTCGCTAGCTTGGGAACATGAGCCACACCGCCAGGGACTGACATTTACTCAGGGCCCACAGAAACCAGTGCTGTGTAAGTGTACATCATGCAACACCCTCTTGAAGTAGGGGAGGCGGACTATCCTGGTTTTACAGATAAAGAGACAGAAGGCAGAGAAAACAAAGTAAGTTTTACCATCAGCTGTGTCCCTGACCTCTGTCACTATTTCCCTCTGGCCAGAAGTGCACCCGAAGGTCCACCATCTTGACTAATTGTAGGCGTACGGTCCAGCAGAGTCACTGCGGCATGCCCTGTACAGCCAGGCCCGAGAGCTCTGGTATCCGCAGAGCTGAAACTCTGTGGCATCCAACGGCTGCCCTGGCTCTGACTTCTGCCGGAGAGTGTAGGGACACGCCGGTGGGCAGAGAGTAACACTGGTGCTAGCCAGAACACGGAAGGTCTTCCTGAGTCCTCTGTCACATGGGATGCAGGTGCCCACGGACAGAGAGAGAGGACGAGGCTCTTCCCAGGAGAGAAGGTGGCTCTCAGGACCTTTCCGAACCTGGGCTGCCCCGGCTCCTCACTGCTTGTCTCTGGCGGCTTTGCATCAACTCGCAGGGCTCCCGATGAAGTGCTACCTTACTGTCCCGCCGTGGTCCTCCGGTCACTGTGTTAGAGCACAGGGGTATTACTCCACCCTCAGAAGTCCTACTGAGACACGATCATTACTTTTATCGCTGAGCTCTAGAGAAACCTCAGTCAGATAGAACTCAGAGGGACTGAATTCCAGCTCCTGGTTAGCGACAGGCATGGCTTTGAGATCCTAGCATCACCACTAAACTGAGGTAAGACCGTGCCAAAGGCGTCGTGGGTCAGAATAGCTTCTCCTCTGCTGGCCTGCCGTTGTGGACGGTTGCGTTTTCTGGCTCCCACTGTACGAATGCTCCTTGTGTTTCTGTCAGAATGTGAAGAAGACGGACTGGTTCCAGGAGTGGCCCGATTCCTACGTGAAGCACATCTACAGCTCGGAGGACAGGAGCGCACAGCGCCACCTGAGCAGCTGGGCCATGCGCAACACCAACAACCACAACTCTCGCATCCTCAAGAAGTCCTGCCTGGGCGTGGTGGTCTGCGGCCGAGACTGCTCCACCAAGGACGGGCGCAAGATCTACCTGAGGCCCGCCATCTGCGACAAAGCCCGGCAGAAGCAGCAGCGTGAGTGGGGCGTGGCATACCGACACCCACCTAGGCCAGCAAGTCCTGACACATCCCAAGGCCCAAGCAAGCCTCAGCCTTTCCAGTGGCGAGCAGGGCTGTCCCGGCACTGAGAGCTGAGGGGCCAGCCAGCCCTGGGCCACCGGGGTCTGTCCAGGGGTCTGCTCTGTCCAAGCACTGGCCTGAACGCAGCAGCCTGGAGTTCAGACAGTCCGCTCCAGGCCCTCGTTAGAAAGAAGCGTCACCTGGGGACTGGTGCGAAAGCAGGACTGACCCATGTAAATTTAGGAGAAAGTAGTTTGCCAGACTTGCTCTTTGCAGCGGCCGTGGTGAGGCTAAGTGTGAAGTTAGACTCAGCTCTGTCGGCTGAGCTTTCTGCTGAAATAGTTGTTCTTTCCGTGTGTTGTACCACACTTACCAGCTTGTGATACAGATGCACCCTCGTTCCCGGGCCCCGAGCCCCTCCACGCCTCACGTTGCTTCATGCTCTTTCCCAGTTATTTGTCTTCAGAACTTGCTCTCAGCATTTTCACCCCCTTGAAGACTCAGTGGCTGTTCTCTCTCTCCTGTGTGGCTTTGCCCCTGACCCTTAATTCTAATTGAAAAATGAAGTAAGTTTTGCCTCTGCAAAGAATTTAAATAGCAGTCAGTGAGCGGGAGAGGTTTTCCGCTCAGAAGAGCCCCCACTGCGCTGGGAAGTGCCCCCGTGGGGGCAGGGTGCTGCGGCTGTGTCCCTGGGTGAGAGCAGCGAGGCGCGGAGGCCTGGCCTCCCTCAGAGGGGACAGGGGAGGCTGCTGGCCCCCCTGCTCCTCCTGGGGTCCAGGCTGAGCCCGGGCAGCACCGGGGCCGGTCCTCACGGTCACTCTCTGCTGCTCCTCCACAGGGAAGTGCTGTCCCAACTGCAACGGGCCCCTGAAGCTCATCCCCTGCCGAGGCCACGGCGGCTTCCCGGTCACCAACTTCTGGAGGCACGACGGACGCTTTATATTCTTCCAGGTTGGGTTTCAGTTATTTATGGGACTCTGCTTCGCTTTACCGTGAAAAGTGTTCACAGAGCAGTGTCATGCGGGGCTGGACAGACACGCAACGGGACCCTGCACCACCCTGCACCACCCTGCAGCCGTGCCCCCGGGGCACAGATGTCTGTGGCCTGGAGGGCGTCAGCCTGTCCAGCACCACCCCCACCCCCGCCCAAGCTGGAGCACCAGCTCTGACTGGTTTTTCCTTCTTGGTAGGACTGTCCTGGGGATTGAACACAGGGCCTTCACACTGGCTACATCCGTAGGCATTTATATTTTTAATTTTTTTTACTTTCTGGCAGTACTGCGTATTGAACCCAAGGGCCTCCACCCCACCCCTTTATAAAATAAACTGTGAGACAGCCTTGCTGAGCCACTGAGCTGCCCAGGCTGGGTTCACACTTGCAGTCCTCCTGCCTCAGCCTCCTGAGTGCTGCAATTACAGGCACGCGCCTCACCCACCTCAGCTCAGACTAACTGCTGGAAAGTCAGATGGGCAATCCCTGAAGCCCCGGTTTTCTGTAAAATGTGAGAAGTGCTAGTGGGAGAAGTCAATAAACTGTAGTAAAGGAGGGCTCGCTGATGTCAGGCTGCCTGGGTTTGAATCCCTGCAGTCCGGCAAACCAGCTCTTCAAAAAAAGGGAAAAAGGCCGATTGGGAGCGTTCGCCAATTTCTGTGCTGACTGCTCCCACGCTGGCCCGGTTCAAGCTACCAGGCATTCTAAATGATCCACTCACAGAATTCCCGAGTGTGTCACAAGCTCTCCGCTTGGTCAGCTCCAGTGGGGAGTTTCAGACCCCCGCTTCCTTGGGGAGGCCACCCAGGGGGTGTACTCTCTCTGTGCCTGTTTCCTGTCCCGTACACCGAGCTAACGACAGCAGATGCATCTTAAAGGTCGCACATTCACCGAAGCCAGAGTGCAGGCTTGTTAATGTCCCGCAGTGCTTCCGGAAGCCGGGAGATGAGGGCAGCCCGGGGAGGAGTGCTGGGACAGGCAGGCGGCAGGCAGGAGCGGGTGGCTCGGGACAGGCGTCAAGGGCGTCTCTAGCCTCGCTACGCTAGGGGGCCCTCACAGCCCAGTTGTGTGGCAGCACACAAGGGCAGCCAGTCACACACTTTGCTTCCTGTTCACTTCCTCGTCTCCTTCCAGTCAAAGGGCCAGCACGATCACCCAAAGCCAGAGACCAAGTTGGAAGCTGAGGCCAGAAGAGCAGTGAAGAAAGTGCACACGGCCTCTCCCTCTGTTTCCTTAAAGCGGAAGGGGAGCCCGGAGACCAAGGTAACTGTCGCCGCGTGTGCTCAGGACACAGCGGCTTGCCGCCCCGGCGGAGGGCTGGTAGCTCGCCCAGGTCCTGTAGCGACAGATGAACGAAAAGCCAGGCATCCCCAGGTTCATCCACAGAGCACCCACCGAGGACCCTGATTCCAAGGTCCAGTCCTTAATTTATGCCACCTTTGCAGCATGCTGTCCCCTGTCGGTTCTGTGACGCTGTAGAATCATCTCCCCAATACAGTTAAAAAAGAGAGACTGCAAAAGTCCCCAGCCTGTGTTTGGTATTCTACATTTTGACTGTGACAGAAACAAAATTAACTGAAATGCTCTACACAAAGATTAGCTTCATGATTTTCTTTCTCAACAAAGTTTCTATACAGCTCCAAAAAAGAGATTGTCGTCTTCCTTTGTGGACCAGGGTGAAATAAACAGTCCTGAGAAGGGTAGTGGCTCCACCTGGTGGCTCTGCCTGGTAGCTCCGCCTGGTAGCTCCACCTGGTGGCGGCTGCTCCCACAACGGACTGGTGTGACCCCTCATGGGCACCAGGGTGGGCCGCGGGTGGCTTGTGTAGCAGCGATGGTCAGTGATTCCTGGGCCTCAAAGCTCCACATTTCCTTTCAGAACAGAGACAGAGCCGGTCCACTCCTGGACGCTTCACACGTACCTCACAGAATTGCAGTTTGAGTCTGTCGTGTGGAAATGTCAGCCTCAAGCCCAGTGTTCGGTCCCTTTTCCTTTGTCCTGGCTGTAGGACAAGGCGAGAGCGTTTCTTCCCACCCCCGCTACTCGGCCACAGCTCTTTCTCTCTCCCTCAAAACCATTCTCTTTGTCTGGTGGGGGGAACTGGGAATCAAACTTGGGACCTCACACTTGCTGGGCAGGCACTGTGCCACTGAGCTAAATATCCGGCCCTAAAACTATTTTCTTATTAGCCAATAGTTTACATAAACATGAACATAACTTAATTCTCTACTAGATTCTTTTCCTTTGATTAACTGGAGAACAGTACTTCCTCCATTTATAAAAATGCAGTGGTACCTCGGTTCACAAACATTTTTGTTTGCAAACAATTTGGTCCGCAAAGAGAAGCATTGGTAAAAAAATTTGTTTCCGTTTGCAAACTCTGCATTGAATGACAAACATGGCCGTGGCCATCTCTCCTGCACAAGCACGAATGTGACCATCTTTTGTAAAATTGGAGTATAAATTAAATTGTGAACCAAGGTACCACTGTAAATGGACCATTTTGTATTCTAGATGGCCGTATAATTCAAGACTTCCCATAAGTTCAGAGAAAATTCTCTTAAGAAAAAGAAATCCTGATTTTTGAGACTCCAACCAATATTTTAAAAAAATAGAAAAGTCAAGGGAGGGAATGCGGGCTGGGGAGAGGGGAGGAGGGGAGAGAGGAGGGAGAGAAATGCAGAGAGAGGAGAATATCCCTGAGATTTGTCCTGAGTATAATACACACTTTTGAAGCTGTAGTTTGGTTTTCCATACAGCGCTCCTTCAGAGTTCCTGGGCGAGGAGTTAGGGTATCAGATTTACATCTGTGTGCGAAACGCCCTACACATGCTCATGCTGGGAACCGCGGCGCTCTCTGGTGGGAGCGGTTTGAGCGGAGGTGGAAGCGGCCTCCACTTCTGCCAAGGCCTGGGCTGGGCAGAGCAGGCGTGTGCTGGGCCTCAAGTATGCCAGGAATGAGGAAAATCCGACGGGGCTCTTGTCGTACAGTGCAGAGTAACTGGTGGGCGCCTGTGTAGTTGAGCAGATTCGCCTAACTTATTAACGAGAGCATTTCACTTTCCCTTCCAGTCTCCTCCAAGTAAAAGGCCAAATCAAGGAAGTTTACCTTTAACTTGGTCATTCCAGGAAGGCGTCCACTTGCCCGCTAGTCACAGTGGACATTTAATGGCTAACGCTCCCCAGCAGAATGCACTGAATGATTGCTTGCCCTTCCCCAAGAGCTATGGGCCAGGAGGACCCATGGATGCCACGGATCTGGCGAGCCTGCCATCCACCTTGGACTCCTCTAAGCTCTATGAAAAGTGCAAGCTGTCTGATGGCCGGCTCCACGGCGGCGGAGACCTGTTTCAGCCTCCAGTGCCCGCCGTCTACCCGGATTACGACGACCTGCAGACGTGGAGTAAAAGCTCTGCTCTGGGGAGAAATTCTCTTAATGAGAGCTGCTGTCCGAATTATGCTTTTCCTCTGACCAACTGGCCGTGCGAGTTCTTTCCTCCCCAGAGCTCTTTGGAACCCTTGCCCCAGCAGATCCCACTGGAGCCACCTGCACCCAAACCCAGCTGCCACCCTTTGTGGGCAAACCCAGGTGATGTTTATGAGGAGAAAATACCTGTGGATTTCAACGGCTACGTGCCTTCGCTCACGTACCCCGCACCTCAGGAAGACCCCTTCCTGCTCACGTACACCCCTCACCCTCACCAGCAATACCCACTGCCGGGCAAAAGCAGCCGATGGGATTTCGATGAAGAAGTGACGTGCATGAGTTTGGATCACTGCAACAGCGAAATGCTTCTAAACCTCTGTCCTCTGAGATGACTCTGATCTTCCATGAACCACCTTGTACTCTTAGAAAATTTTGGAGATGGCTGAAAGAATTTCTTATTTTCTAAATGTAACTGCAGGTAAATGGGACCCAAAAAACAATAAGCAAGACTTCTTTGTTCTTGCAAGAAATCTTCTTGCCTCCTCCTATTCTCATCCTTGACCAGGAATGGACCTTCTTCCAGTGTGCTGTGTCAGACGCCCCTGGTCTCCTGCCACATCGTTCTGGGCCTTCGGCACCTCAGTGGGTTGTCCTTTGGGCTTTCACTGTTGCTAACACACACCAAATGGACAGAGACGGGAAAAGCCCATCTACTTATGACCCCGTCTGTGCCTTCTTGGGAACTGAAAATGAAGGATCAGACCCTCTTAGTTACTTTCTGGTCAGTGAGACACAAAACCCGACACCCACCACGTAAGGGAGAAGAGGTTTGCTTTGGCTCATGTTTCAATCCATAGTCAGCTCGTTCTAAGGAAGAAACAACATTATGGAAGGCCTGGTGGAGGAGAAGCTGCTCATGTCGTGATGGTGGAGAAGCAGAGAAAAGCAAGGGAGGAGCTGGGGCGAGAAACATACCCTCCTAAGCCGTGCCCACAGGGACCACCTCCCCGAGCAGACTGCGCCTCTTAACAGCAAGTCAGCCATAATCCCATCCCCCCAAAGCTCCATGTGTGACAACACGAGGCTCTTGGAGAACATCTAGATATGAGCCGTGACATTCTGCCCTTGCCCTCCCAAAGACTTAAGTGCATCTCTTTGTGCAAAAGGCATTAAGTTCATGTCTAAGAATCAGAAGTGTTAACAGTTGTAGCTTTGCTGAAAAGTCCAAAGTCTCCTCTGAGACTTCAGGCAAATGTGTGGCTGTGAACCCCAATAAATATCAAAAAGAAGTTAAATGCTTCCAACATACTATGGAACAGGGTAAATATTCTCATTTCCAAGGGGAGGAACGGGGGTGCAGAAACCAATGGGACCAAAGTGAGATCGAAGCCCAGCAAGGCAAACATTAAACCCTGTAGCTCCAAATCCAGCACTTGGGGCAAGTGATGGCAGTGGGGTGTGAACTCCAAAGAGCAAGGGTGATGCCATTCCTAAGGCACTGCTGGTGGTTATATCGCTCATGGCTTCTCCACTGAGCTGGCTTTGCTCACTCCTGGCAGCTCTCCTTAGCAGATGTGCCACACACTTGGCTTCTCCAAAGTTATGGGGTCTCCTCTGTACTTCCAGCTTCACACTCACAGCTGCACACACTGCTGTCTCAGGGGCACACTGCCCGGCCCCCAGTGTTTTGAAATCTGGGTGGAAGCTTTCCTGGCCTCACAATTCTTGCATTCTTCATGCCTGTAAAAACCAAAACCACATGGACAATGCCAAGGTCTGCTGCCAGCTAGACTAGTAGCCAGGCCATTGAATAGTGGCTATACAAGTCGCTGTGTGCCTGGATGACTGACCGTTAGCCAGTTCCCAGGGACCCAGCTCCTTAGGCAGCTGTTCTGGAGCATCATGTCCTGGGACTCTCTTCGTAAAGCAAAGTCTTTCACTTTTGCAATTTTGAGCCTGCAGTGGGTGAGGCCTGGTCTATTCCTCACATGCCCTCTACCCATCTTATCGTTCTGCTGTAAAGTATTTAAATTCTTTTTAAAAATTATTATTGAAACATGTTTGCAGTAAAGCAGTTTACAGTCACCTTGGGGAGTGGGTACATGAGCATAATACCGCTTGTTTCTGTTTTTAATCCCTTTCCCCTCCCCTCTCCTCTTGCCCCCTCCTCCTCTAATTCTCCTTTCCCCATTTTCTTTCTTGTTGATGTTACTAACCTTAGCTCATGTTTATGGCATGTAATGTTTACATTCGTTGATGTAACTAGGTTCTTGTACATGGCATATCTTTATTCTACTTATCTCCCCTTCCCCTCCCCCTTGCTCCTTCCCCTTAGGCTCTTGGGCCCCTTGCCATTAACAAGAGGTTCATCTCATTGTCCCCTTCCCTCCATCCTTTATTATTCTCTTTGTCTGTACTTTGCCTTACTCAAATGAGAGAGTATTTAAGCTGGTGTATCTGGTTAATTTCACTCAACATTATATTTTCCAGGTGTGTCCTATGTCTCAAATTTGTCTTTTATAGCTGAGTAGGATTCCATTATACATAAATACCACTGTTTATTCACTCATGTTGAGGGCACACAGGCTGGTCCCAGGATTTAGCTATTATGAATTGTGCTGCTATAAACATTGATATGCATATATCTCTGCAGTATAATATGTTAAGCTCTTTGAGGAACTGGCTTCTTTTTAATGCTAATCTCAGCAACCAAGCTCACCTCCATCTGTGTAGGAAATTTCTTTCTGGCAAAAGTGAAAAACTTTTGCTCTTGTTTCTCAGTATAAACCTGACTAAAAGTAGCAAGCAGGGTCCATGCTACAGCCTCAACATTGGTCTGCTTTGGAATTTCCTTTTCCAGATTAATTAGTCCACTGTCCTTAATCTAAGTCTCCTGCAAAGTCTCAGGACATGAGCAAAATGTAGCTAAGCTGTCTACTGCAATATAACTTACACAGTCTGGAGTCAAACTGCCAGTGGATTCCTTATTCACAGCAGAAACCTCCTGAGCCTGGCCGTTACTATTTGTCTTTTCATTAGCATTCTAATCCTCTAAGCTCCCACTAAAATCTTCTATCAAACTTGGCTTACAGCATTTTAGACTGCTTCTCTAGCCAGTATCTCCAAACCTTTCCAAACCCTTCTTGCAAACAAGTTCCAAAGGCCTTTGAACCACGGGGTCAGGCAGTGTCACAGTAATGACCCCACTCCTGGTATCAAACTGTGTCTTAGTTACTTTCTTCTTGCTGAAACAAAATACCCAATGCTTATGACATAAGGGAGGAGAGGTTTATTTGGACTCATGTTTCAGTCCATAGTCAGCTGGCTCCAAGGCAGGATGTCTAGGAGAAGGCATGGAGGAGAAGCTGCTCATGTCGTGATTGTGGAGAAGCAGAGTGAAGGGAGGAGCTGGAACAAGAGATATATCTTTCCAGGCCATACCCTCAGTGCACCACCACTTCTGGCCAGGCTGCATCTCTTAATAGCAAGTCACTACTTAATAGCAAGTCCACCTACCTCCCCAATACCCCCCATGTTCATATGAGGCTTTGGAGAGACATCTAGATATAAACCATAACACAGACATCAAGGGTGGTAAAGCTCTGGAGCAGAGAACTGAGTATCCCACCACTCAGGTATTTCATACTTTTTGTTGTTGTTGTTTGTTTGTTTGTTTGTTTTTTTCTGGTACTGGGAATTGAACTCATGACCTTGCACTTGCCAGGCAGGCTCTGTGCTGCTGAGCTAAATCCCCAGCCCCGGTATTTCATACTTTATCTAGTTACACAAATCTATAAAATAATATTTTCTCACTGGTTTCTTAGAGTTGTCAAGATAAGAAACATGGCCTAATCCCATTTCATAAAGATAAAAAGTAGCAAACTTAAGTAGACACGTGAAGAGAATGCCAGTGATCTCAACTACTACTTCTCTTTTCCCTCTTCCTCACCGATACATAGAGGCTTATATTTTTGTCCCATTCATCTTTAGAAAGCCCAACTCAGTGTCCTCACCACCTGGTTCATATTATGTGAAAGATACTTTCTTAGAAAAGGGATGGGGTTAGCTCAATGAGGGAACCCATTGGTTCAATTCCTAGCACTGAAAAAAAAAACCTGTGATTAATGTGTCCATGGTCAGATAGTATTTGAATGCTGGTTCCTTTTCTTTGCTAAAGTATTTTATAAGGACCTAGATGTAAAAATTGGGAAAGACCCACTAAGTAAACAAGTATTCTAAAAAATAAATATCTTTTTTCTTTATTGGATTGATAACAAATGAACATGTTATAAAACTCAAAAGTAAAACAGAAATCTCTTATTTCTGGTCTCCTTGCAATGCTGACCAGTCTAGAAATTAAACAGACTCTCTACATATATATGTATATACTATTATATATATATATCATATATGTAATACAAAATATGTGTGTATATAGTATGTGGTGTCATACCAGATGCACCTCTAGCTTCGGCATTTCAGGACAGGTCATATAGGACCACAGCTGTCTCATTTTTAATGATGTATAATAACATTACTATTACACTTAAGCAACCTATATTGGGTTAGATTGGTTTGAATCTCCTAACTTCCTTTGTCTAAGTGCATAAAACATTCATTTTAGCACAGTTATAAATCAAATACATTGGGGCTGGGGATTTAGCTCAGTGGCACAGTGCCTGCCTGGCAAGCGCAAGGTCGTGAGTTCAGTTCCTGGTACCAGAAAAAAAACAAAAAACAAAACTAAGTAACTAAATAAATAAATCAAATACATGTGTAACTACCATCCAGGCCAAGAAGTCAAGCTTCCCCTCAGAAGGTCCTGTAATTGCAGCTCCAATCCTAATCGCCACTTCTAATCAAAAGCCCCTTCTGCACCTCCAAGGTGATCTCTGAGCTGGATATATATTGGGTTTTTTTCTGTTTGTTTGTTTTTTGAGACACAGTTTCTCCATGCAGTTCAGGCTGGCCTTGAACTCACTCTGTGGCCTAGGCTGGCTTTGAATTTAGGTAATTCCTCCTGCCTTGGTCTCCTAAGTACTAGGATTACAGGCGTGTGTCACCACACCCAGCTCTTATATTTTTACTACCTTCTAGGTACTCCTAAGCAATGATTTGGTTTTGCTATTTTGGAGGAAACCTAACAAACTCTAGATTATGATACACTGAAGAATCGCTTAAGTACAATATCCATGAAGAAGAGGGCACAAGTCGTAACACAGAGCTCAGTAAACTGTCTAAGAGTTTAGCCACCCCAGTTTAGCCACCTCCTCACCAGCGCCCTTCCGGAACCTGGCACACTTCCCAGAATAGACAGGCTGGACAGCAGCTATGACTCCCCACTGAGAACGGCTCGCAGTCAGGCTGTGCTGAACATGCAGCAGGTCCTGCCGGAAGAACAGGCCGCCTGGGCTGCAGGCCCTGGCCCCGGGCATGGAGGAGACGGCTCCGGCTGGCGGTCACAGAAAGACCTGCGTGACGGTGACTGCGAGGGAACTTGCGTTTCTCCTGGTTGGAGGCTTTCTGGGCACTTCAAACACTTTCTTGCTACTCGGCTGGGTGTCCTTTTATCCAAACCTTTCTTCACTTTAAAAAACAAGAGCTTGGTATTTATCAAGGCGAGAACATGTACACAGTGTGAAGAGTCAAACGGTACCATGACGGCTATGAGCAAGTCCGGTTCCCAGCTCCAAAGGCACCCGCTTCTTAACTCTCAGCGCTGCTCCTCGTCCTCGCCCACGGGTACGCTTGCATGGCTGCTTCTCGGCCCACACACCCTCGCGCTGTGACCCGTTAGGGTTCAAACACGTACAACCGCCACCGCCCTTGGGCTCCCTTCTCCCCGGGATTAAAATCCGTTTACATAATAAAATGCTCATTTTAAATGCTCATTTTAAATGCACAGCTTTGCCCACTGCACACATAATCGTTTCATACAGTGAAACACCACTCACCTCGAGACACACAACGTGGCCAGTGCCATAGAAAGCTGTGCCGTGCTCCTTCCCCGTCTACCCCGACTTCAGTGACGGCGAACCCGTTAGAACTTTCCGAGATACAAACAGCCCGCTGCAGCACGTGTGCCATGGGTTTGCCACCACTGCCCTACTTGACCTTCAATTTTTCATTTCCTAGAATGTCATATAAATGACTTCCTAAGATCTTTGTGTGTGTGTGTGTGTGTGTGTTTGAGACAGGGTCTCACTATGTAGTTCAGGCTGGCCTTGGCTCACTTTGTAGCCCAGGCTAGTCTCAAACTCATAGCTATCCTCCTGCCTCAGCCTCCCAAGTCCTG